TCAAAAGAGGGTATTTCGGTCTTATTAGCCAATGATAACGGTCCACCATGACTATAACTGCTGAAAATTAACGGTGGAAACGAAGCGGGGGGAATGCATAGATAGTGCCACATGGGTCCACACCTACGTGGTCTTGCCTAAACTTTTTCTCTTTTCGCATTCATATAATGATATCCATAAAATCGTTATACAGGGTCTCAATCTAATGATACATGTGCGAAGTCATGAAAAGATCATGATGGTCTCAAGGCCATAGTGACATTTTTTTAACACGTAGAAAAGTTTGGTATTATATTTATGATTTTCAAGGTTTTTCCGTAGGTTCAAGACTCTAATCCGACGTTTTTATTGTGATTTCTTTCATTGAGTTTGATTTGAGTTTGGTGATTCCTATGCAGTTGAGGCAATTCATTACTTGTGAGTTTTGAGGAGAACTCTGGTCTAGGGATCAGTTGAAGGTGAGAGGAAGAAAATCATAGTGGCTTGGAGCTTACATTTAAGGAAGGAAGAGGATGATGAGGACATCACCATACCGAATCCAATGACGGCGGTTGCTTACCACACAACAAAGTAATTTTCGTAACATCAGGAGAGCATTTCGAACTGAGAGTTTTGGGCCCCTTCTAGGATAAAATCCTGGTTCTACACTGCTATAAAACATTGTTATGAAAGTTTTTATTCACATGACAATATATTATTAGATCAAAACGCCATATAGCAGTAAACCAGTTTCATATAAATTGCTCTTCATATTTTGACTTCTATGTAACTGAGATGTTATTGTAATGATATCTCAATTTAATTAAGTTTTTGCCATGCCATACGAACCATTGCACAAATGACTTGTTTGATACAATATACGAACGTTAAATTCATGTGCCATACATGGTCATGTGGCATCTAGCAGTTCAGACTGTGTTCGTAAGTCATATACGTGTTTGTCTAACATAACTGCTACGCATTTCTTCGCATTCCGCTTCATACTTCATATGCGTTCAGTTTCCACCTCCGTCCGATTCAAAAATGGACATAGGACGAGGGCAATGCGAAGCTACACATACAGTGCAAGCAATTACCTCTACAATCCATGTGAAACTAGATCTGTCATCTTCAATGTCCATGTGTAACGTTGTACTTGTGCATATTACTACACATGTTCTTATAATCAAGAAGATACGTTCAAGTCATGCATCCATTGAGATTAAAAAGTACGATTTTACGATTCGATTGAAATACTTAACTCAAAATAGTTTAACTCAAAATACGGAAATCTAGTCATCCAATAAACCGGTTACAAGGCACATTGTAGAATTTTGAACAAGTTCTTCATTACCTAGAATAGAATAACCACTTAGAATACCGAAACAGATTATATTTGTCGAGAAGTGTAAAATTGTATGGATGCGATCCTCGTTGTGCATCTTGATCAATTGGATCGTTTCTTTGTAGATTTCGATGCGAGGCTTTTGTAAATGTGTTTCCGGGTTTTCCTTTATCATTTCGTCCAAACGTAAGAGTTCCTCTAAGTCTATGAATTCTTTTAGAATACTCTTTTCTTGAATATCATTCAAAAAAATTTCGGATTGCCTAGTATTCCACCAATTAGTAAACCAAGATTCTAGACTTTTATTAAATGAGAGAGAGATCCACCAAAACAAAAATACTTTATTTAAATCATATTTGTTCACCGTATATCCTGAGAATCTTCAAATCGTATATCATATTGTCAGTTTTCATCAGATATTATTTATATTTAATTTAAAATAAAATTATTTAAAATAATTTCTGACCGCATGCGATTAACGAACATAATTTGAAGATCCCTGAAATCCTCACAAAGAAGATCCTCATTTCCTAATACGTACGCACACGAGTCTGTTAAAGAATAAAATATAATTATTAACATTATTTTAATCAATTCAAAATCCATACGATTCCTACGTTCTAGAGATAATAATCAACTTTTAATATTTTAATATTTTTATTCTATTCAAAACGATACGGTTTTAGATTTTCTAGGGGTAAGTAATTATTAATTTTTATTATTTTATTCATTTCAACAACTACTTACACGTTTTTAGCACGATTTCCGGTTGTTTCGAATGCACAGGAGCCTCTGAAATCTGCACACGTGAAAGTCTCTTGATTTTCTCATCAATTGTAAAGGTTTTTTTACCGCTTTATTCTTAATTCCTGATGTTGTTTATTTGTTTATTATTTGAATTTTAAAAATTCGAACTCGAAATTTGTTAGGTATAATTTATCATATGCAATTGTTTTATTATTATTCAATTTGTTACGTCCAACCGTTTGTCTAATGAAGAGGTTATAATTATGATAAATTAGAGAGTGTTATACTTTCTGCATCTATTGAAGAGGTCTTAAATGTATTATTTGATTGATAGGTCAATTTGACTTGTATTGACTCTTCCTGTTTCTACAGCAAGTACTAAATGAGTTTTTTCAGCAATGAATCTTATTAAAACAAGACTTCGCAACAAGATAGAGAGTGAGTTTCTACCAGATTCAATGGTTGTCTACATTAAAAAAAAAGCTTGCCGAAAATGTTGATTCAGATGAAATAACAAAGGATTTCAATTATATCAAGGATCGAAAGGCACAACTTGAATAGGTACTTTTTCTTTTTTTAATTTGTTAAGTTGAATAAGATTGATGATATATGTTTTCTTTTTATTGCAAATTGCAAATTTAAATGATTTCTTTGTTAAATCTAGTTGAAACTTAAGTTATGCAGGGTTATAATTTATTTACTTCAAAATATTACTTTTAGGTTTATTAGTATACAACTTAGGTAACAAAAAAAAAAAGGCATTTGATTTAGTAGTAATAATTTTAATTTAACCCATCCACCAAATAATTCTTGGCTTTGCTATTGTCGACAACAAAAAATCAACAAGCGTTTAGTAAAATACATCAGTGAATAAACTGAAATTTTGTTGTTGTTTCTATTTAATAACTTATAATTTTAACACTGAAACCCTCCAATGTTCGAATTCTAAATCCGTCACTACCAACATGAATAGATTCAAAGACATTGCCGCAATAATATTTCGTATAATGTAAATCTCTTTCGTGCTTCCGGAAGAAAGCAATGCATAAAATATGGTGGCTTTTATCGCATTTGAAAGCTTAGAACAGATCCTGCGATAATGGGTTGACAAAAGAGAAAGCAATGATTTGTTGACGTACTCGTAACAATTCAAAAGAGGGTATTTCGGTCTTATTAGTCAATGAATCTCACCCTACTCATTTCCTTTTTCTTCCACGTATTCCTTTCGGTGGGAAAAAAAAAGTCGCAGTCGCAAGTTTGTGCACAAATATACTTTTCACCTTTCACACTGTCCATCTCATCTACTTGAATCTTCATTTGGATCTAACCAACCAAAATCTTGGCTTTGTGGTTAGATTTGGAGATCTAGAGACTCCAAGATCATAAATTTTTGGCGTATGTAGTGAAAAACTTACTAGATTTAATGTATGTTAATAAAAAATCAATACCATCTAATTACGTAATTAACGCAGTAATAGCCTATCTCATATTAAACAGAATCTCAATCACATTAGAAATTTTATAACAGAAGAAAGATGGTGGTAGGGTGGTAGGAAAGGAATATCCAAATTTAAGGTGGAAGACTAATCAATTTTCGACGTTTAGACAAAGTATCAATTCTTTCTATCGATATACATTGAATTTAATGAGTTATCAATCCGAATATGATCGACACCAAGCTAACCTTTAAACACTATCGGCCGGAAATTGCAAACACCAAGAACAAGAATTGCAAAACAAAATCTCTCTCTTCTTCTCTACATATTCGTTTTCTTCAAAGGGAAAGAAATGATTCAAATTATCAAACAACATAATACAAAACACGAACACGTTCAAATTACAACATAAAAAAAAATACAAACCAGAATTACTTACAAAAAAGGTGCTCTTAGACCACCTTGACCCCACTACACATTGCATGATTTATTTAGAATACTGTCATCTTGACATTCCCGTTCACGGTAACTCATTCCGAAAGCATACAGAGAGATAGAGCTAGGCCAAAGGAAACAGATGAGTATTGGGGTTTCTTCCTTTTTTTTTTTTTTTTTCTGCATTAATGTGCGTCAAAATCAAGGACGTCCAAATATTTTCAAACATGTTGCGTAGACGCTATTAGTTAGCATTTTAAAGTCTGCATTGTGATCTCACCCTACACATTTCCTTTTTCTTCCACGTATTCCTTTCGGTGGGGAAAAAGAAAGTCGCAGTCGCAAGTTTGTCGACAAATATACTTTTCACCTTTCACACAGTCCATCTCATCTACTTTAATCTTCATTTAGATCGACAATTAACCAACCAAAATCTTGGAGATCTAAATTCAAGATCATAACTTTGTGGTTGGATTTGGAGATCTAGAGACTTCAAGATCATAAATTTTTGGCCTATGTAGTAAAAAATTCATTAAATTCAATGTATGTTAATAAAAAATAAATGTCATCTAATTACGCAATCAGCACAGCAACAACCTATCTCATATTAAGCAAAATCTCAATCACATTAAAAATTTTGTAAGAGAAAAAAGATGGTGGTAGGAAAAAAAAATATCCAAATTTAAGGCGGAAGACTAATCAATTTTCAACGTTTAGATAAAGCATCAATTCTTTCTATCGATATACATTGAATTTAATGAGTTATCAATCTGAATATGATCGACACCAAGCCAACCTTTAAACACTATCGGCCGGAAATTGCAAACACCAAGAACAAGAATTGCAAAAAAAAATCTCTCTCTTCTTCTCTACATATTCGTTTTCTTCAAAGGGAAAGAAATGATTCAAATTATTAAACAACATAATACACAACACGAACACGTCTAAATTACAACATAAAAAACGTACAAACCGGACTTACTTACAAAAAATGCGCTATTAATTTGAGATACTGACACAATGACGGGTATTTCTATGTACCACTCTAATTACAACCAACAAAAAATGCGCTATTAATTTGAGATACTGACACAATGACGGGTATTTCTATGTACCACTCTAATTACAACCAACAACTCAACACAAACTAGAACAAAATTACAGCTTTTTTTTTTCACAAAAGAGGAAACGGTTACTAACTAATGTTTCAGCCAGGCTGTCATTTGGAAGCGAGCCCCGACGGCAGGGGAATGGCGGAAGCCTGGAGGAGGCGCTGGGCGTGCGAGAGCTGGTCCGCGAGGGCCAGAATTCGGGCGTGATCCGTACGCGCCTGATCGACGGCCTCGGCTTCGAGCTCGCCGAGCTGAGAGCAGAGACGCTCTTCTGCCTCCTCGGCAACTCGGAGTCTCTCGCGGGCTCTCTGGAGCTCCGCCTTCATCCGCTCCTCCCTCTCCTGGCTCTGCCTCAACTCCCTCTCCAACTCCTCGTTCCTCTGCCTGAGCAGCTTCTCTTCTTCCGCTGCCGGCAGTTGCTTCGTTACCGCCATTTTTGTTGGACTCGAAAAAGCTCACAGGTCACAGCTAACAGAAAATAAACACTAACAGAAAATAAAGTGTTTGATGCGGTGCGCAGAGTACGCTTTTAAAGGCCAAAAATGATGAGTCCAGGTTCACTGTATCTGCTTTGGTTACGAATTTGTGATTCTGCTTACGCCTTTGCGCCTGTCATAAATCATGTCTCTTTGCGTAGTTGAAGTATAATTTTCTTTAAAGTTTTTGGCCGTTAGATCTTGATCATCAAAATTTTAACTAAACATTTTACGGTCTAAAAATTTTAAATATAGTAGAAATCTTTTGTATGATATATCTTGATGACTCTTTTGTTTAATTTAATTGGATTTTAGTTGTCAAGCTAATGACGTGACTCATCGTTTGACTTATTTCTTTCTTGGTTTAAAGAACGTTATATTTGGTCAATATTGTATTCTACATTGTTATGTAACATAGACATGCTCGTGTATCATTTTCTCTCTTTTTTTTCTAAATTCTTGAATGGGATTTTATTAGCAAAGTTTTAACGAAACCACTATAAAATATCACTTATCGTGTTTTTCAAAAGTAATTTAAAAAAAAAAAAGTTCACGAGTTAACTTGTAAACAAGAAAGTTAATGAATTTCATTAATTATATATATTTTTTTGCTAATCAATATTCTACTCTAAGATAAATTAGATGAAAAGGAGGTAATCAAACTTGTATACAAAAAGAACATATTAACTTAATCAACTCCGTTATATTGAAATCATTTGTTACTCATTTTTGTTGTTTAAAAGTTTAGATCGTACACCAACGAAAACAGCTAGCAGCAAAAATCAAACTTAAATTAGAGATTAATCACAAACACTCCCTTACTAACTGAATCAACCATCCTTTTCCTCTTTAAATAATTTTTCATTTTTATTTTATATTTGTCAATGTTTGGGATAGTCATATGTAAACACAAACAAATAATGAAGAAGATTGAGTTGAGCTCAATATTGCTGATCAAATTTCTCATTGTTTTTTTGCTCAAAAATACATTTTCTCATTGTTTCCACACGTTATTAATATTGACCATGACCACTGACTAATTCAAGAAAACTTATCAGATTTTTCAGGCCGTGTGATTGTATCTGACCAAATCCAACCACACTTCCTATTGTTTCATTACCGTTATAGGGCAAAAAAAGAAGAAGTTATTATAAACAATGCCCGACAAGGTTTTGGCAGTAACAAATAAGGGTTCGATGTGAAATGTTTTTAAAATGATTAAAAATATTTTTGATGAAAGTAATTTTTAATTTAATTCTTAATAAAAACGCAAGTGAATCTTTGAAAAACACTTGAAGTACTTTCATGAATGATGTTTTCTTCAAAAAAACATTCAAACTCAAAAATATTTTCCCTAAAAGTATTTTCTATTATTTAAAAAAACGAGTCGTGAGTTAGCAATTACGCAACCTATTTGGCATGCATGTGAAAATGGACTTTCGATGGAGCATCGTGGCCTATCGAGGTCGCATAAGTCATTTGATTGACAAACTAGTGGGTGGGATGTCCTAATCTTCCTAAAGTTGGGTCAGCAATAAATACGCGGCAAAACGGTAAAAATCTGAGTGAACGGATTAATGTTACTAATTTTACGGTAAATACTAGATATTTAATGCTTTATATTTACGTGGAGAGTTGTTTGATTTGCTGAATATGTTTTACTTAGTTTTATGAATCTTGATAGAGAATTAGTGATTTCGCTATGCGGTTAGATGCATGAATATTAAATTTTTTATCTTCTGTACTTACGTTGGAATTCATATTCCGATAATTTAGACAAAATAGAAGGTTTGAGATCTGGTTACTTTGCAAATTTGAAACAGTGTAATCTAAAACATTACCTGCAATATTTACCGACGGTTTGTTCCATGTTTAGTTTATTTTGCTTCTACTATCCTAAATTTATGTGGACGTAATATGATGACCATTATCCACTGTACTTATCTCAACTGCGTGGCCGTGGAAGGTTTGTGGCCATTTCTTTTTCTTTTTTCTTTTTCCTTTTTTTTTTGTTCGAAGTTTGTGGCCATTTCTATCATTGTCATCCTTTTAGTTGCGACATAAGTTGTATTTCGAATGGGACCGATATCCAGTGTCAATTTATTTTTGCCAATTAGATTTTTTATATTACTTTGAAAATTACATAATTAAGGGTTGACTTCGAGTTAGTGCTTGAATGTTAAATACAATACTCTAGTCAACTCATCTAATCACGCTTACCATAAGCAATTAAACTAGAACAACACTCATAGAGCTAACACTAAATTGGTTAGCATGCATTAGAAAACGTAAGTAAATAATGGTGAATCCCGATCATTTGTGAGTGAGATATTATTATAAGACCCAGTTCATTATTTAAAATATTCACGAAATTATCGATATTTTTGTTGAAATATACGAAAAATTAAAGATCGATATGGATAGAATGTGAAATGCAAATTTCACTCTAAATCGGCGAGATATAGGATTAATGCATATCGACACTATTTACTGATCACTACTTAAATTTTATCAGGTTCATTGCAGATGTCAAACTTTTGAATTTTTTGAATATTTTTTTTAAATTTCGACTAAATCTGAATGAGTTGATATAACGATCCTATTACAAATTTCCGTTGAAAGCAGCCAATATCGATATCAATATTTCCATTTAAACCGATATTTTAAATTATATAGAGTTTATGGATTATGATAGGAAGCCCCCCAAACTTTAAGTCATGTGTTATTGTTACAACACCTGCTGCTGCATCCGCGCTAATCTTCTTGCTGATCATCAGGATTCTGAACCGAGAAATGGTTTACTTAGCCTTAGGCCCTGCCGCCTGCCTTGCTAAATGATTGTTAAACATATAATTAATTAATGTTAACTGATTGAGCTAATTGGTGTGTGTGTGTGTGTGTGTGTGTGTGTGTTGGACAAACGGAAAAGTTCACGACGGTAGACAATGAGACGCGAGTGAAAGAAGCTGAGGTGATTGAAGGCGGACTTCTGGATTTTGGACTTAGCCTATACCGTGTTCGGTTTGAAGTCACAGAGAAATTAGGAGTTGCCGGGGGAATTGGAACCCTCTTGGCTTTTGCTGCTGCATCATCAAAACCACAGTCGAGTATGATGTCAAGGAAGAGACGACTGATGCTCCCAACGCCTCCTCACTCGTCTCTATCGAGCCATTCGTTACCATTGCAGAGGCAGCAAAGATCCATCTCAAGAAAAAATAACTTGTACTAGTTGCACGGGCCTGGTATGTGGCACCTATCAGAGAAGAACACACACAAACTCTTTCCATAAGTATGAATGATGTTTGTGTTTTCAGATGCGGGTTGATGATCCCCATTCCCCACCAACTTTTCTACTTCTTACCAATTAACTATATAATTATAACCCCTCTACTAAAAAAGTTATGAATTACTACTAAAAAAAGTTATGAATTAAAATGCGTGAAATTCTCTTTGATTTACCAAACTTGCAAACTCCTTTGCCGCCGGCCTTAGCATTTGAATTGGGTGCCGGTGGCTATTCTTGTCCAAGTTCCTTGTTTTCCTCTTCCCTCTTTCTCTTGATCCTTTTCTCTCTTTTTCAATTTTCCCTTTTGTCAGTTTCCTTGATATTGTCTCAAATTTTTCCATGAGTTTGTCTTACTTTTTAGCTTCATGTCCCTCTTCTCCACCCCTCCCTCTCCTCTAACTATTCTTTTCCAAACCCAAAACTCCATCTCCCCTCTCTTTTCCCCTCTACCTCCCTTCCCCATAAAACCATCCCTACCCCACCCTTTGCTCTGATCGATAGACTCTGGGCCGAATATGGTTGCCAGATTTATTTCTCTCCCTCACTATCCCTCCCCTCCCTCCCCCCCCCCAAAAAAAAAAAACGGCTTGCTAGATTTTCATCGAGGCCAACTGTATTGCAGCTTTGGCCAAAGTAAGGATATTTTACATATCCCCTTAACCTCACCTTTTACCCATATGGTATTGTGTTTGTATATATTTGCAAAGATTTGTGAATGGGATTTGGATCTAGTAACTATCTTTTGGTTTTGCATCTTTGGTAAAGAAATTTTGATGTGGTGTGCTTCTTGTTGCGGGTTTGGTACTTTTGTGTTGCGATGTCTTGTTCGTTTTTACCACTCGGTTGTTTTCTCTAGTGTTGTTGCTTCAGTAGCTGTTGGCAAGACTTTCGTGGAGGTGACGGCAGCAGAAGTTGCTTTCTGTAGTCAAAAATCAGGAATTTGGGTTTCCGTTTTAGTTTATTTAATTGAGTTGGGCTTTCATGTATCTATTCCTCCCAATATATTTGGATTATTTGCCTTCCTTTGTGTTGGCTTGTAACCTTCTATCGGATTAATTAAATTATCTTTTAAGACAAAAAATAAATAAAATTATGAATTATAAAAGGTGATATTTAAATAAAATTATTAATTTTATTGCAATCTAATTATTTAAGTTTACTGGACAAAAAAATTGATTTTTATTTTTAATACAATAAATAAACAAAATCAATCATCATGTTTCAAGTTTATTCCCTTACCCATAATTTAATACCATAATATAACGGTATTTTCTTTCACTTGTAACCAAAAAGATTTATGTTTATTTTTAACTAAATATAAATTTAAATTACATTATTACACATTTATTATGAGACTAAATCCATCGTCTTTCTGTTACATCAACGTAGATAATATCATTTTATATCGTCACCCTCATCCTCAAGTCAGACCATTTGCTATGACATAACTTTGACGCAAATGATTGAGCAATTTTTTATTCAACAAAATTTGAAAATGCTTACTTCAAACAATCGAACAAACTGAGCAAGAAGGGAGATACGTGTGCTCTTCCTGCTCTACGCAATCCCTAGGCGCTCCTCTCTCTCCCTTCCCTCTCCTTCTCTCTCTTGCATTGCAGAAGAACAACTCCAAATTATCATCGCTCTTTTCTTTCAGTAAGTTTCCTGTTTCCACATCATTTATTTGTCTAATAACGTTTTCAAGATCATCTGGGAAGATTAGATCTCTCGTTTTTAACGTAATCTGATTATTTATGTTTGGTTAAAATTGTTAATTTATTACTAATTTAATGATCTTCTTGTTGGATCATCCGAGGACCCATTTGCCCGATATGCTTGATCCGTTGCTTTCAGAAGCTTAATGGGTCAGGGAATGCTTTGCATGTTGAATTTCGGATGTGGGTTTATTTGGGTCATTTGATTTTTCTCCATTTTTGTATGCAGAGTAGCTGCAACACGGCACCATCATCATTGCCAATGGTTGAATTTAATTTTGTTCTGGCATTTCTGAACTACTAATCGATGGTTGAATAAGATTTCCTGAAGTGGGTGTTTAATTTTCACTGGTTTTGTCTGTTCGTTTAATCCGAGAATTGCATTGGAGCACATCAAATAGTTGTATAGTTTAATGCAGGATCAAGACTTTATCCGAATTCGGGTTGTTGTTTTTGAGTGATTTGCGCAAGGTGAGGTTTTTGTGGGTACCGGTTGCTTCTGATTGAAATGCTGTATGAGAGGGAGTGGGAGTCTAGTTAAAGATTTAGTTTTCAGGAATTATGGACTTTCAGAATAATTCTCAGCTCGAATCGGGGAAAATGGAACAGATTGTTTCCCAATTTCTATTGAAAAGCTTGCATATTGTTTTGGACTCTAGGATTCCTTCTCTTCACCCACATGATCGCAGCGGTGACCTGTCATCTGCAACTCAAGTGAGAAAGAGTGACAAGTGGTTTAACTTAATACTAGGAGACCGCCCTGCAGCTCTTGAGAATTTAAATTTTTGGCACAGAAGTGTAATGGATCCTATGATAATTGACATTATACTTGTTCGCGGAGGACCTAGTTCTTCTGTTGACAATCTGTATGCGAATACAGTGGAGGGGACGTCTGTTGAGACAATCATAGAGAGGTGGGTTGTCCAGTACGAAACTCCAAGGGCTGTGGCTCCCCAAACTGGTGACACTTCAGCCTCTTACAAAAAGACATACAAGAAGTCAATCATTCTTTTACGTACTGTTTATTCGTATATGAGACTTCTTCCAGCTTATAGGATCTTCAGACAGCTAAGTACATCTAGTCAGACTTACAATTTTGATATTATCTACAAGGTGTCTTCACTTAGAGATCCATTCTCAAGGGCGGAGGAGGAATTGATGGAGGAGTTCAGTTTTGCTCCCGTAGAGGCTCATCCTGGCCGCCTTTCTTTATCTGTGAATTACCGTCCAATGCTAGCTGATTTCAATCTTGAGCCTTCAGCACCAATGCCACCGAGGATAATTACTGATTATGTTGGTAGTCCTGCCGCTGACCCCCTGAGGTCTTTCCCCTCATCAGGGAAGGGTTTTAGTGCAACTTCCTTTCTGTCGAGAGGAGCACGACCGCCATCCAGTGTGCCACACCAACGCCCACACAGCTGGACAAGTGGCTATAGACCCTTAGTTGGATCTCCACCTGCATATCGTGCATCTCCTATGTCACATGATGTTGGATCTCCTCCTATTGATACATTTGACAATAGAGGTCAAAACTATAGACCTCTAAGTCATAAAAGAAATATGAGTTCAGATGAGTATCAGCTTTCACCTCCATTTTCGCCATCCCCGTCGCCATCACCCCCAGCATACTTGTCCAGTGGTAATTTCAATCCTATGCAAACACGAATTCGTTCAGGAACTGCCCCTGTAAGCATCCCCCTTCCAATGGGGGGCCCTAGATACTTATCCCCCAATTTTTCTGATCCAAGTAGAAATCCTCTTCCTCCTTTATCACCCAGAAGCACAAGAAATGATCATTCCTCTCAAGAGTCTCCATCTGGAATCAGGGCAATCAGAAAGTTGGAGGTTTCAAGGGCCGGAGAGACTCACCCTGGAAGTTCAAATCATTACATTGGTCAGAAGGTAGTCCCTGTTTTCCGATTATGCAACCTGTGGTCTTGAAGTAAATTGTTTCTCACAGTTTCTATAACACCAGCTTTTGTTTGTTTCATAGGTGATGAAAGACAGCAAAGATGATTCAGGGCGTTTCTCAGGATTGTTGTCATCTAGTGGCTCACCACGTGTTGGATTTTCTAGAAGCTCGAGTAGATTGTCTTTCCAGGATGATTTGGATGATTTTGAGTTCTCATGTCCGTTTGACGTGGATGATGTTGATACACCAGATTCTCAAGCCAGGTACTTAATAATCTTTATGGTATACAAATTTTCTTTTTGGTCGAATCTCTATGGTATATATGCATATATTTGCAGTCATTGCCCATTTTTGACCTAAGATAAATTTTGATTTCTGTAGTGGTATAATTTTATTTCCACCATAATTGTTGTGACTACTTTACTGCATGCATTGTTCATGCTGCTCACCGTAATGGTTATTTGCTTCCGTCTTCTTGAACTTTTGGATTTTATGATGGAATCTGGATAAAAGAAGCAGTAAATAACAGAACATAGTTGGGTCTTTTTTGTACCTGAATCCCTGTGATGAAATTTGTTGATGCACAAAATCGGCGAGGACTTCGGTACAGCAGAAAGTGTGAGGTTTATGACCTTCGCTAGGTTGCTCTGGTCATTAGTGTGGATAAGTATGTAAATGAATAGAGATAGGGAAGCAAACAACACAAGATGTACGTGGTTCACCCAGATTGGCTACGTCCACGGAGTAGAGGAGTTCTCATTAGTTGTGAAGGGTTTACACAAATACATAGGTTCAAGATCTCTTTTAGTGAGTTCTAGTGAATAGTTTAGTACAAATGACATTAGGGATTATTGTGGGAGAATGATCCCCTTTTATAGAAGAGAGTTTCTAGTTTTGTTCTGACATTGACACGTGTCATGTTGTGATTGGCCTCTGATATTGACATGTGTCGTGTTGTGATTGGCTTCTGATACCGACATGTGTCGTGTTGTGATTGGCCTCCTGGTTGGAGGAAAAGTCTTGTGGGTCTTTGACGGTATGCTGTTGACCGGTGCTTAGTAGTTTCGGGATTGGTCAAGTATGGTACAAACAAAATTAAAAACCATTGTATTTGCTTACATGGTCATGATCTATCATTTGCCTGGTTCAGCTCTTGTATCGGAATTCACTTTCCGTTAGAGATTGTAACTATTGTTTTCTTAGCTAGATTCTTTTGGTAATGTGCATGGTATGTTGAAAACGTAAGAAATGGAAACGTATGATTACTATGTTTGACGGGTTATTTACTTTAAATGACTTGAATTGACATGTCTTTTCTTGCCTTATCGTATACACACAATCTGAATTTACATTTAGGATATTGCTTGCTGAAAAAGATGCATAGCTTGCTCCGTATCATCATATATTTCTCTCTTCACATTTTGGGTTAACAGTGATGGCAAAAGGCCTTCAGAGTTCATATCTCAGTCACTGCCAATGGGTAGAAAATCACAAGATGCTGCTGTCGGCGTTCTGGTTCAGATGCTGAGGACAGCTCCGCCTCTGCGCCAAGATTCAAGTTGTTACTCATCCCGGTCTGGGAAGAATGAGCATGAGGGAGGAGTTGCTACGGCTTCTGGTTTCTTTATGCCGCGGAAGACATCCGATGCACTGGAGGAGCTCAGAAGCTACCGAGATATGAAAGACCTTCTACTCTCCAAGAGCGGAACGCGGGTGCTTGCTAAAGACGAATCATAAAGAGTTGGAGTTGCTGCAAGTGTTGCCCAAGTTGAGCGCCAGCCGCGCTATGGTTTCAAAATCTGAAAACATTACATACATTTTCATGTGGATAGACTGAATGGAGGACGAACAGCCTGTATACCGAAAACTTAGTTACTATCTTTAATTCAGTTTACTGGAACTTTAATGACCATTAATGTTTAGAAAGTGTGTATACCTTATTGCTTACATTACGGCCACTCTTACTTTACCTCGGATATTCTTGGTCTTAACCATATCCTTTCTCGTGTACCCTAACTAGCATTCGCATCTTCACAAGCTCTCTCTTTTGGAGAAACTTCGTTTACCTCAATCTTTTGCCTTTTCCGCTGTGTCTGGTGTTGTTTTATCCATTTTTTTGTTAAACTCAGTTTTGCACGTGTTGCTTTTTAACCGCCCAACATTCCATATCATAAAGCATCGAAATCAACAATATATATCTGAATGTTTTTCTTTATACAAGCAATATCGAGAGAGAATTGAACTCAAAACGAAACCTCAGGTACAAGGGTGGGTTGAACACTCCTTAGTCAACTGAGCTATTCATAACTTCATAAATTGACAAAGAAGATGGGCCAAAATGAAATACTCAAGTTCTTGGACCCCAATTGGCAAATATATTTTACAAAATATGCAATGACCCTGAGGCCAATATGAGAATAAGGTAAAATATGAAATGTCCGTATCACCCTCGTAAAGTACAAAATAGTAAGGGTATAATTGACTCTTTCGGCTTGCGCCATTCCTTCTCAGGTGAGGTTTACTAACACACGTGCGTGGTTGAAAAAGAAAGAGCAACCGCGCTGTTCGAGCAAGAGTAAAGCAAAGCGCGCGCACCGGCGGAGGCCCTCGGCGTTCTTCAGCAGCTCCGCCGCCGTAAAAATTGTGTATTTGGTCGATACTCTCGTATCCGAGCAATGGATTATTCGAGTTGCCCGTTCTGTGATTTGACAGTTCTGTCCGCCGAACTTGAAAGGTATTACAATATGCTGCAAATAAATTTAATCCCTTTTTTTTTGTGAATTTTTTATGTGGTTGAAATTGTAATGGTATGAATTCGAATTGCAGGCACGCCAACGGTCACTTTGAGGAGGTTGAGGATGATGAGGTCGATGAGCAACTGGCGAGGGATTTGGAGTTTGCCCAACAGCTTTCTCTCGCTCCTGCTTCACCTCCATCAGCCATGGTAGCTACTCTTCTACTTTCTGCCTATTACTTTTTTTCGGAATTGCTTTTGAAGTCTAAAGTGTTTTCTGACAATCAAAAGCGCTTATGACAGAAAAATTAAAACCATAGACTTATAGAAGCAATTAATAGTATAGCAGAAACACTTTGAGCATAAGTGATTCCTAAGGAAGCAGTCCTAAACGAGTACTTATTCCATGCTCATCGAAAGCATATAAGAAAAAAGAACAGATTTTTATTTGTTTTTCTTTGAAAAAATATTATTTATTTATTTATTTTATTCTTGTTATTTGTTGCTTAATCTGTAATCCGAAGCTCAGTCTACTGATTTATTGGTTTCGTATTGATACGCGCCGCAGAATAATCAAGCAATCGGTGAATTACCATGTTGGCAATGTGATGGAGACATTAGTATGGAGGAAAAAGTTTCTTGCTTGATTGCTTTACAGACTAGGACTACTTTCCACAAGATTGAAGGTGGCTTAATGGCATTGCTCAGAGGCTGTTTGGAGTTAGAACATGGAAATACAACCACTATTGTGTCCGGTTATATTGATCATTTTCAGAGCATTCAATCCGAGGACAAGGGGTGGGGTTGCGGGTGGCGTAACATCCAAATGCTTAGCTCCCACTTGCTTGTGCAGAGGCAAGAAGCTCGGGAGGTTTTGTTTGGTGGTTCAGGTTTTGTTCCTGATATCCCATCACTTCAAAGGTGGCTTGAGATTGCTTGGGAAAAGGGTTTTGATACACTTGGTTCTGATCATTTTGCTAACAACATTTATGGCTCAAGAAAATGGATTGGAGCTACTGAATGTGCTGCCCTTTTCCGTTCTTTTGGACTTAGAGCAAGGGTAGTGGATTTTGGTCCCAAGGAACTTGAAACATTTTATCCTTCTCTTCCTGGTTCAAGTCTTGGGAAAGAGGTAAAGAGAATACAGGATGGCGGAAAGAGGAAAGCAATCCAGGTTCGTGGCCCGATGGATAGGTATTTGTTGGTAAGGAATCATGATACTACTCAAGCAAGTTCCAGTGGACTTGAAAATTCAGGAGGTTCTAATATCCAGCTTGGTGACTCTATGGGTAGCACAAGTGATGAGATTTCGGGAAATAAGTTTACAAGGAAAAACAACGGTCGTCAGGTTCTCATTGATTGGATCTGGAACTACTTTTCTGACAATAATTTTACCAAATCTGGAAATCATCAGGTCATTGTCAGTGACAAAACGTAAGTTTTTTTTTTGTATTTTTCCTGTTTGGATCAGTAGCTGTAGTACCAAGAGAGCAAAATGCATTCAAGCACTATGTTTTATAATTTGTTCTAATTTGTAGAGGGATTTTTCGAGCAGACCCTTGTACTTCCAACATGATGGACATTCGAGAACGATTGTTGGGATTCAAGTCAAGCGTCAACATAATGGGATGCTCCAGCACAATCTCTTAATATTAGACCCTGGCCATGTAATTTCCCGCCTGTTTTTATGGATCCGTGGTGCATCTTGAAGTTATCATCCTTTATTTTGCAATACACTATTGAATACAATTTAATTTTCAATCTTGTGACACATAATTGCAGAGAACGGAAGATCTGGAAAGATCGCTTAGAGAAAAGGTAGGATGGCAGAAGTTTGTAAAAAGAGGGGTTCACACGCTGAAAAAGCCACAGTACCAGGTAATGACCATTTAAACCTTACATTTGCCTTTGGTTTTGATTACGCTCTGGGACTGGAGTTGATGTAACGGTTTTGTTCAGTTGTGCTATATCGATCCTGGAATTGCAAGCGGGGAGGAAAAGGAGTTGCTTAAGACAATGGAAAGCGTCTTTCTTGAATTCTAGAGGATCCTGTTGTACATTTGAGACCCGGATAGAAGGTTTTCGAGTCGTTTCTTGGCTAGAGGAACGGATAGTTCGCTTATATACGATGAGACGGGAAAGAGACAGATGAGATACATTTGGGATCAATGCAGCCTAAAAGAGAACTTTGACATTCACTGTTTTATGGTTTGCCTGCCCGAGCCTTCGAAAGACAATTTGATTTCTGAAGATATTGCAGTTGCAGTTTTTTTGTTGACTTGTTCTGTACAAATGGTCTTGACGAATGATAGATTGACTTTGAGGAAATGCGTTACTCTTAATAGCTTTTCTATGTGCAAGAGTGCTAGAGAGGTCAGGGATTCAGATCTTCCGACTCTTCAGCTGCTAGGGAGCTGTGATGTTTGGCCAGCTCGTAATCTGGGACATATTGGTTATTTGGTGGCCGACACAATCGGGCAGCATGGAAAGAGTGCTGGAGGGGTTGGGGATGCCTGGAAGATTTGGTGGCAGACACAATCACGTGGCATGTAAAACAGTCCGAAGATTTTCGACACCTAGAAATCGATTTTGTTTCCTGTTATTAGTTTTTATTAAGATATTTCACATACATGAACCAAAGACTTGCAGATGACTCAGGGCAAAAGACCTAGAGGAAAACCTAGAAATACTTGAAAATATACTATAAGCGAAATGGAATAAGCGAAGTTTTATGTACTTTGTAGTATTAAATAAAAAGGAAGGTGTCGTAGCTGTCGAGGACTAAATGCTTCTGAAACAATAATATACAACGCCAAATTGCCAAACAATTGTAGTGAAAAAATTAAGCCCAATAGCAGACAGTGCTACAACCCCTATAAAATAAAACCTCGGCCAAAAATTTCAGGATCTAAGAAAGCGGCGGCGACGATTTCCCCCGTCAAAAGCTTGTTCTACAATATACAAATGCCAAATTGCTAGACACACATACTTTCCCAAAACTCTGCCACAACATCGTAGGTTGCAACGGGATGCCGGTACCGAAGCCGGAACTGAACTTGCACAGCACCACCTCCCAGCTCATTTACTAGAAAATAGAGCATGACAAGTAATCCGCTTCCTATATGTGTTAACTCTTCCTTTTAAAGGGGTTCGATTGTCCCACTTTTTAGTCTCTCCATACGGGCTTGAAGTCCGGATAATGCCCTCTCATCCATGGGGTGAACCCCAATCTGGAGTGGGTTCTCTGATGCACGAGGAATCTGACCAGAGAGGCTCTGGTTTACGTTGTCATTCACATACATTAACGGCCTGGTTTCTTGATCCGAGTTCCCAGCAGCTGCGGCCAACTGCATGCTCTTCATCCTCTCTCTAATCGCATCCAAGGTTCCGTTGGTCACTGTAGGTTCCAAGATGAGTTCTAGTGTAAGGTCATTATAGTCGATAACAAAAACAAAAAAAAAGAATCAAAGGTGCAGGAGAAGAAAAAAGGTGAAAACATTAATACAATTACCTCCACCAATATATCTCTCATTCCTTTGGTCTACCAAAGAGTTTTCGGTGAGACCTCTGGCATTATTCAGCCTGTATTCTTCAGTATATGATGGCGGTAGATTAAAGCTAGTTGGTTCAGATTTCACATTTAATGATTTCGAATCAACCAAGGAATTCGTGTGTACAGGGGACAGGGGTGCAAATTCAGGTGAAGAAGCATTTAGAGTAGCTGGGGGAGGAGTTGGCATTGGCAAACTTGAAGGAGTCCTTCCAGCTGCGGCATTCTTCTCCATCTGTGACAAAGAACATGGTAATTTATTTCTGCGGCAATGAAACCTAATTTACTTTCTCAGGAATCATTAAATGTGTGCCAGCAAGAATATTTTGCCGGTGGTAATGATGATACTGACCTGCGCCAAACCATCTCTAATATATGTCCGGAAAGCCTCGCTAGCATTTTGGAGTTGAGAGAATATATCAACCTGAAATAAGTTTTACAAACTTCAGAAACAGAAGATTCATGCTGAGAAATCAATGGCTTGCCATGCAGGAGGCGAAATCCTAAATCACATCAATAATTCCTAAAGACTACTTACACACATTACTTACTCTTGGGTACAGTTGGGTTATGCGATATAGTTCATATAGACCAATGCTGCAAGTTTGCTTGTCACCAATCTTCTTGAATATGGCAGCAAGTTCTTGCTGAAAGTGAAACAGAACCAAAGAATGAGCATAAAAAAACATGACCATTTTACAGAGAGACTCGTAAACAGAACACTGAAATTGTGAGGAATAGCGAAGGAATTTACCGATAAGATTGATAAAGATAAACAAGGTTGCAATAATACCTTTAACTGTGCATCAGCAGAATGTGTGGCAGATGAAGGATTGTTGGCTGCTGAATCACCCCAATGAGTTTGGCCCCCAGACCCAGTTGACGTCAGCATCCTTGCCGCAGCTAATGTCTGCCAGACCGTAACAAAAAAAGGCAATTAAGGATAAATCATTGTCCCTGTATAAATAAAAGTGGGACTGAAGAATTCAATTATCACCTCAAGATTAAGATCAATGTAGGCAAGAATGATGGGCTGCGGTTTTACGTCTATAGGAACCATGGAAAGGTGACCTTTAATTGCAGCTCCACGAAGCTTCACAAGCTCATGCAGAACGGTCTTCACCATACGCAGTGGTTTGTCATCAGCACCGGCTCTACAATGATTTTATTTTTCACAAGTCAGGAGAGAATATCAGTGCATGAAAATGACCAGGACGGGATGAGACGGGGGATTTCAGGAATCTCTTTAAGAATACCTTCTCCTAATCTCTTCCATCCCTAAGTCTTGTAGGTATAAATGGATGCTTTGAAGGATACGGTCCAGTTCAACATCATATATTGTGCTTTGAAGAACCTGTGGAAGAGAATTGCTGATTTAAGAGAAACCCAAAGTTTATCGAACATAAAGATTATGAAATGGCAACAAACAAAATAAATACTTGATGTATACGTTGTGCTGATGTGCATGTGAGATATTTTTGTCACAGCTAACATGGCTCATGAAAAAAGAAGCTGGAAAGAAGGCCACGAATTTGGCAATACCTTTGTAAGTTTTATTAAACATTTGACAACCAGATCAGAGAACTTCTGATTTCTGGAAGCAAATGATTCATTGGATTCAGGTGATGGCCATCTTGAGGGATCTAAAGGACGTAAGAGGTTGATGAGAACAACAAAGGACGAAGTCCGATCTGCATTATCCTGCAAGAATAAAAATCATAGTCATAACTGATGTAACACCAACAATTAATATGGGGAAACCAATGCAATAACAAGTAGATCTTAACCAGAATCTTTAGCATCAAAACATTCAAGGCTTTCAGAAGTTGGCTGCCATCATCCATATGGGGAACCCTTTCATCCAAAAGCCACAGTAGAAGCTCAGTGATTAGACTGTCAAGAGTACTTTCCTTGACAGCATAAGCAAGTCTTTTATTTTGAAATGTCTGCAAAGAAGTCCAAAATATCAGAATGTTAGGAAAAAGGTTCGTAAAAGGTAATAATCTTTTACATAGTACATTTAGATCACATGAGCTTGAATGAAAACTAAGGCAAGAACTTGATGGCATGTTTACCTGCATAAGAGTGTTCAGGACATATTTACAAGACCTAGATGAAGCTCCCGTCAAACTGAAGTCAAAAGTCTTTGCTACCTTTTTGAAGAATAAAAGGAAAGAGAAATTTCAGTAAATACTAGGGTTTGATTAAAAGATGACAAGTCCAGATGGAGAAGCATCTACAATGAACTGTTACTCTACTTGCCTTATTTGCCAAGCAAGAAACCAGTCTATCTACATCACGCACTAGTTCATCCATAGCACTGCCTTCTGGATCATTAGTCGCCTGTGCCAACTCATGACACACTACTTTCATTCCTTCAACTGACTGCAGCACCAAAAACAAAAGGAAAAAGTGAAAAGTGGTTACAAGGAAATATGCATAAGAAAGAAGCAACTAAATTAAGATAAAACAACCTTGACCAGAGTCTACGTCCTTTTGATTATAAGAAAGAGATTGTTATCACATCCAAAAGAAAACAAACAAGATAAGTTGCATACCTGTTCAGGAGAACCCAAAGAAATGATATCCAAAGCTTCATTCCAGTCTGTTGGGCCATTGGCCCCAGTGAGTACATGGGGTGGCATCAGTTGCCTCTCCAAGTGAGGCTCAGGATGGCCATAGTTTCTCCTAGAAGAAAAATATCAACATATCCCACCAAAATTAGATAAATAATTACACTAGAAAACTAGATGTATTTGTACAAAATAAAGGTATATAAAAAAAAAATTGAAAATTTTGTGTATACCCAGAAAGCATTGGACCAGAAACAGATCGAGCAACCTCCCCACTTTGCTCTGCTACATCAGGCCTAATAACAAATATAAAAAGATTTAAGTTTACACGACTTCTATTAAGCAATCGACTGGGGTCAGGTCATGCGACAAATTTTTTCACACATTTTAAACACTTTTAAAGGGTTAACACTGCATCTGACTTGCACGTTCATTTACTAATTTAATTTCAAACAAAATATTGATGTCTCTTGGAAACACAAAACTGAAACCGTTTCATCTCAGTCTTATACCTTTAAGTTTATTTTGGGGTACGATTTCAAAGAGTACAAGAAACCATTAACACTTCAGGAAAGTTGGAAAAACATTATTTATAGTGAATTTTCATTAAAACAATCTGATATCCAAAATCAGCTTCAGACCTGCAATCTTAGGAGTGTTGATTTGAATACTGATTTTTCGTGTCTAGTAAAGAATGCTTTCGTTTCTTCTTTTTTTTTTCTTTTTTTTTTTTTTGGTACTTTACCCTTGAAAATTGAAAGTTGAGCATTAAAATGCTTTTTTTCTTTTTGGTAATATTTGACATTGGATTTGAAAGAGCAAACTGCAAATTTAGAACATATGACATCTAATCTCAGTTTGAGGTTCTCATCTCACATGAATCTGCCGATCTTCACTTCTTTTGGAATTTATATGAGAGAGAGAGAGAGAGAGCGAGAGAGAGTTAAACTTTCTTGAAAAAATAAAATAGATGTACTGTTCAGATGATGCAATCTC